TCGCTTGGTTAGCCCAATCGTTTGGGGGTGGTAAGCCGTTGTTTTCCTATGACATGTGTGGGTAAGTTTCATAATGGACGGCGTCAGATTGGCAGTGAATGCAGTTTCTCAATCCGTGATAACCATTTTTGGGGCACCATGCCATAGTACAATGTTAGTGACGAAAAATTCAGTAACTTCTATAGCCGTGCCTCTGATGAGAGAGGCTGTCTCGGCATACTGGGTTAAGTTGTCTGTCGCCCCTGCTATCCATCGGTTGCCCATTTATGACATAGGAAATAAACCAAGTGGATCCATTCCTACTTGCTCAAACGGAGATTCAGGGAGTTCGATTGGTTGGAGAAATCCTGCAGGTTTCAATGGAGGCGTTTTGCGTCTCTGGCAATCTCTACATGTCCTCACATAATGCTGTACAGCGCCCAGTAAATTTGGCCAGTAGTACTTGGTGCGGATGCGAACCAATGTTCTACTTACTCCGAGGTGTCCTGGTGCTGGGTCATCGTGGCAGGCTTCCAGGATTTCGGGTTGCAAGGCCGAAGGAATGATGAGTAGCAATTTCTCCCTGCTGTGCTCGAAGTTTCTCTTGTATAAAACGTTGTTTCTCATCAGGTACGAGGACAATCCCCGGACGAAAACTCGAGGAAGACGCACGGGTTGCCCTTCCAGATGCTTGATCAGTTGAAGCAACTTCCCGTCAGACTGTTGATATTCAGTCATGTCGGCGGTGCTGACGGCTCCAAGAAACGGAAAGTCGTCTCCATCTTCCACAGGTGCAGATTTAACTGGACGCGTGACAGGCAATCAGCATCACTGTGCTTGCGACCCGACTTGTATACGACTGTTATGTCATATTCTTGCAACCTGAGGCTCTATCTGTCAAGTCGCCCAGAAGGGTCCTTTAGGCCTGCGAGCCAGCACAGCGAGTGATGGTCGCTCACTGCTCGAAATGGTCTACCATATAAGTACGGTCGGAATTTCTGTATGGTCCATATTACCGCCAGACATTCTTTTTCCGTCGCCGAATAATTTATTTCAGCTCTCGAAAGAGTGCAACTAGCATATGCGACCACTCTTTCCTCTCCGTTTTGCAGCTGCACAAGGACGGCGCCTAGCCCCAAATTGCTTGCGTCCGTGTGAATCTCTGTTTCGGCTTCTTCGTGGAAATGTGCAAGGACGGGGTGGTTTAGGAGTCGCTGTCGTAGCTCGTTGAACGCGTCTTCGTGCTCGCTTGTCCAGGTGAAAGGCGTGTCTTCTGTCGTCAGTCGGGTTAGTGGTTCCGCTATCTTCGAAAAATCTTTGATGAATCTTCTGTAACAGGCACAAAGTCCTAAGAATCGTCTCACAGCCCTTTTATCTGTCGGTCTAGGAAACTTTTCTACAGCTGCTGTCTTTTCGGGGTCAGGTCAAATGCCTTCAGAGCTAACCACATGACCAAGGAAAAGAAGTTCATGAAAACCAAAATGGCGCTTTTGAGGTTTTATGGTTTTATCGTTAGCCCTGCTGAACTAATCGCTTCGAGCACAGTCCGTGGTCATTCCGCATGCTGATCGAAGGTGGCCGAAAAGATCACGACGTCATCGAGACAAACAAGGCAGGACTGCCATTTTAACCCGGACGGCAGAGTGTCCATCATCCGCTGAAATGTGGCGGGTGCAGAACACAGGCCAAATGGGAATACCTTGAACTCGTAAAACCCATCTGGGGTGACGAAAGCCGTTTTCTCGCGATCTCGTTCGTCCATATCTATCTGCCAGTATCCACTCTCTAGGTCTAGAGAGGAAAATAATTTCGCGTCTCGTAGTCTGTCAAGGGTGTCATCGAGCCTTGGAAGGGGATTCCCGCTTTGTGACGACGTTCAATTTTCGGTTGTCAACGCAGAAGGGAAAGGTCTGGTCCTTTTTATTTACCAGCACTACAGGTGAGGCCCATGGGCTGGCCGATGATTGAATTACGTCGTCCCTAAGCATTTCTTCAACTTGGCCTCTGATGACTTCTTTCTCTTTTGGTGACACTCGGTACGGGTGCTGGCAAATAGGTCTAACATATTGATCAATTTAATGCCGTGTTTGGTGATGGGTGTTCTTTGCACTTTCGATGACGTAGAAAAACACGAGGCATACTCCCGTATAAGGCTCTCGATTTTTTGTTTCTGGTTCGGTGATAGGGCTGCTTCGATGTGGATAGATGCGAGTATAGAATCTTTACCGTCAGGGTGTAGTGGTGCAGTCCCGGAAGAATTCAAGTCCATAATCGGAACGTAATCATGCAAGTGGCCAACAACAGTTCCCTTCGCAAGATGTTGCACCTCGTTTTGGAAATTTGTCAGGAAGACACTCGTACACCAATCACGCAGTCGTACAACACCTCTTGCTGCACAGAACCCTTTCTCGAGTAATAGCCCAGTATTACTTTCTGCCATTCCTTCATAGTTGTTGTACACATTGCTTTTTACGGTGACAACGATGATGGATCTTGGAGGTACTGTTACATCATCACCTGCAATCTGGGGTGCATAGAATTGTTTTTCACTCTCGAATGTCGCGATGGCGTGTTTCGTCGAGAACGAGACGCACGTTTCCTGCAAGTTTATCACTGCGCCATTGGCCTGCAAAAAGTCTATTCCGATAATTGCATCTCTTGAACAGTCCGACAGGACAATGAAGCTGGCGACGTAGGTAAAGCCACGTATTCCGACTCTAGAGGTACACATGCCTGCCGGATCGATAAGGTGTCCCCCGGTGGTTCGCACTTGTGGTCCTATCCAAGGGATCAGCACTTTTTTCAGCGTTCTGGCAAGTCCCCTGCTTATGACGGAATAGTCTGCGCCTGTGTCTACCAAATCATTCGTTTCGTAGCCGTCTATAATCACCGACAAATCAGAAGCGACGTTACCGTTTCCGCACGTAGTCTCATGTCCATCATCACATTTTGAAATCGGCACTGGAAGTTGTTTTCTTGCGTCGGCAGCGGCCTTACCTCCCCAGGTCGCCGATTCTAGTTTTCCCGAAGCGGGCTTTGGGAAAGTCGCCTCGGAGAGTTTGAAGATGGGCGCGGACTTTGTGACCGATACCTCAGTGGTGCTGTCGACCGAGACTGATGCTGCTGCGATGAGTGAGCACCTTGACGCGTTGACAAGTACTCCTCAATTTCAGAAGGGCGCTCCCCGTTCCGTGGACAGGCAGCGTTTACGGGAAAACCCCGAATTCCAGCTCGGCGATATTCACACATCCGGTAAAAATGGCCAGCTTCGCCGTAGTGATAACAAAGCGGAATTCGATCAGGAGTGCGCCATATATCAGCTTTTCGGATCCTCGTCTCGGCTGGGGACGGCGTGAATCGAGGTTTCGGCAGATGCGTGCTTGCTGCGGCGAAATAAGGTCCAGGGGCGGTGAAAGGAGGTCCAGGGGCGACGAAAGGAGGTACTGGGGCGCCTCTCAGCCCCTCGGCGTACGAGACTGCGGGCTGCATCGGAACCGATGCTTGAAGAGGCTGTGCTTGTGGCTGCTGCTCACGGACTGCCTGTCTCACTTCCTCCCGAACAACTTCCGCTAATGACGAGACCGTTGAGGGGTTGCCGTTTAGCTTCTGGAGCTCTTCTCGAACCACCAATCGAAGGAGCTCTCATGATACGTCGAAGCCATTCCCAAATACTGCTGACAGCGCGTCTACAGATGCGACGTTAACATTTCGATTGTAGTGCCTCGCTCACTGTTGCAGAGTCTTTTCAACCGCTGTCGCCTCGGTGCGAAATTCAGCGACGTTCCGCGGGGGGCATCGGAGCAAACCAGCAAAAATCCCCTGCTTCACCCCATGCATCAGGTGCCGAAGTTTCTTGTCCTCGCTCATATTTTGATCAGACCGGCGAAATAACCGACACATGTCTTCCACATACATTGCAATGCTTTCATTGTTGCGCTGGTTTCTTGCTTGCAAGGCAGCTTCAGCTCTTTCTTTGCGGTCTGTACTCGGGTATGTGGCCAGTAGCTCCCGTCGGAAATCATCCCACGACAGAATGGCACTTTCATGGTTTTCGAACCAGGTTCGTGCGCTGTCCTGCAACGCGAAATAAACGCGGCGGAGCTTCCGTTCTTCGGTCCATCCGTTGCAGTTGGCGACGCGCTCAAAATCCTCCAGCCAATCCTCGGCGTCTTCATGAGGATCGCCATGAAAAGGGTCCGGCGTCCGTGGCTCATCGACGACGACGTGCGTGGCAGCGACTGGAGACGAAACGACGTGTGCGGCAGCGGTTGGAGACGACATTTCGGTACTCCCACCGAAGACAGCTGGAGACACTCTAGACTCTGGTGGAAGGGTAAATTCCGGCGGCTCACCACATGGACGATGCCTGGAGCGCTGATGAACTGGCGTGAGCTCAGTTGGTTCGACTGCTCGTGGTTCCAGGATAATTCCTCGAAGTCCAAATGGGTTTGGGATCATTACCCAGCACCTCCACCATAATTGTTACGCACAATCCAAATGGTGTAAGAATAACTGTTTATTGGGGCTAACTTGTGCCCGAAAAGTAAAGGAAAATGTAGCGGCGTTTCTAACGGCCGCTCAGCACAAGGAATCAATCTCCGAGAAGCCCTCGAGCGGTGCACCACTTCTTTTTTTATCGAAATCCCGTCACGGCCTTTTCTTGTCTCATCATCGGGCCGCTGGTCTCTTGGGGGGCGTACGAACTAGCGCGCGTAGTTTGAATACTGCGTCTGCCTTGCGTCAATATAGTATCAGAACTTGAATCATTAAAGAATTTGCGCTATAATCTTAGAAGCCACTGTATAATCATTATCATCATCGTCACCTCTTACTGCATTTGAAAGCAGTAATTATGGGAACATTTTACTCTGCCAATCCCCTTCAATGGGTGCGTGCCATGTGTGGAGGTTAAGAAGAAGAACAAGAAGTGGCCTCGTGCACACCGCGTTCTGAATCGTTGGATTGCCTCCGACGATTGCTTTCAGTGTACAGATTGGATAAGAATTCGAAAAGTGACATTGATGGCGCGTCTGATACAGACGAGGTGAGTTCATGCGTTGTGCCTTCTTTGGAGATGGTTAACGTAATTTCGTGCGCAACGGCTGCGCTAGAACAGTGCTACACAGCGCCCCTTCTTGCCTGACTTAACTCTTAGTTCTGAAAGTAGTGTATAAGGCGTACGTATCGTTCTTTTCTCTATCTTTTCATAGAAGTGTGTGTAAGCAAGTTTTTTTTTTTTCATGTGGACGAATTCAGGTGTCGAAATGTCCAATTTTGCGTAGTGCTTCCGGTGGATCATCAGTGAGCACATAGTTTTTGCTTAAGAGTCACATTTATACGTGAGGTTTAACGTCCCAAAACCACCATATGTATATGAGAGACGCCACAGTGGATGGCTCCGGAAACTTAAACCACCTGGGGTTGTTTAACGTGCACTCAAACCTGAGCACACGGGCCTACAGCATTTCCACCTCCGTCGATAACGCAGCCGCCGCAGCCGTGATTCGATCCCGTGACCTGCGAGTCAGCAGGCGAGTACCTTAGCCTCTAGACCACCATGGCGGGGTTTGCTTAAGAATTATGATAGTGTATAGGACACCAGGCTACACTGTAACATATAGAGAGTCAGACTTTGAAAATTCAGAACGCGTTGACGATTGTATAAGTTCAGCTAATGTACGCCTCTTTCCGTGATTCACTTCAAAACACCGAAATGTACAATGTGCTTGACGTGTTTGGCATCGTGTTGATGGTGCACATACTTCGAATAATAAAACAATAATAATAATAATAATAATAATAATAATAATAATAATAATAATAATAATAATAATAATAATAATAATAATATACAGGTTTAACGTATGAAAACCACGGTAGGGTTATATACGACACCGTGGTGGAGGAATAGCTGTTTCCGTATGGATTTTATTCCTGCAAGTGATCATACAGAAAGTTGGTTTGCTTCTTCTGTAATTAACGCGTACAATCGTGCTTTAGCACCGGTGTTATTCACATTTTTTTTCCTTTTCTTTTCTTCTCAGGCATTCATATTTTGCCGAGGTCAAGGCGTGGTTCGCCGTGGGGCGAGGACGACTGGTGCTCTTGCTCCTCGTAGTGTTCGTGGTGGCTGCCTTCTGGCTCGAAATGTTCATCGGGAAGCCGTTCAGGCAATCGTCGGCCACATCGCTTCGCCAGCAGTCCTACAGGAAAACAAATCGACGCGCGACGGCAAAGACGACGACGACGACGACGTCGACTGCGGGCATCGGTTCCCTGGAGATCGGCCGCAACGTTCTTGGCCCCGATTACAAGTCTTACGACCATGTCGGAACGGCCTCTCCGCGAGCGTATTGCGAGGCGAAGCCGGGACACTTGAGTAAGTGAGACAAAACGAGACTTTCTTGTCTCATGTATATCCGCGCATTCTGTGACAATACACATGTTTGGTATAGGTGGTATAGTGAGCCCCGCTGCGGTGGTCTAGTGGCTAAGGTACTCGGCTGCTGACCCGCTGGTCGCGGGATTGAATCCCGGCTGCGGCGGCTGCATTTCCGATGGAGGCGGAAATGTTGTAGGCCCGTGTGCTCAGATTTGGTTGCCCGTTAATGATCCCCAGGTGGTCGAAATTTCCGGAGCCCTCCACTACGGCGTCTCTTATAACCATAAGGTGGTTTTGGGACGTTAAACCTCACATGTAAATCAATCAATAGGTGGTATGGTGAACTAGAACTCTAATTCACTATAGTAAGAGGGGTGCCCCAATGCACCATTTTGTCCAATTATAGCTCCTAGGCGTGCCTGTACGCACTGATGCGATTTGTCATGGATGACCTGATGTGAGCGTCGGCACTAGCTCTGCGAACACAAGCGGCCAACCAGTTTCAATGGCAGTCGATACCGCAGAGCTGCCGCTAAAGTGTACTATAGTACTTCAGATCACTATACCTGCTGTGGACGCCACCACGGCCTGACTTTGTGTGCCGTGCAGCGCAGCTTTTTACGTCCGACATCCGATATCATGTACCCCGGCCTCCGCGATTTGCTCCGGCCGCTCAAGGGTGCGCTGCCGGAGCCACTTGGAGGCCGCACATGGTATATTCTCAAATGAGAAGCACAAAGCAGTTCAATCATTTCGAGGCCGACATAGGGGGAAAAAGTATAAAACGCGTGAATGCGGATATATTATTATTATTATTATTATTATTATTATTATTATTATTATTATTATTATTACCTCACTGACACCAACACACTCGGCCACTTCACCAGCTGCCACTGAGCTCTGCGTGAGTGGCCATTGTCGGTTTGTGCCTTAATTTGAAAGTGGTTGACAGTTTTTCATGATTACGGCAGTTAGAAATTAGTCACACGCTGTAATGGCTTTCTTCTCTCGACCCGATGAGCGCACCGGAAGCAAAGAAAGGGGGAATGACATAGGGGAAAGAAGTTATGTCACCCTCGATCGTCAGCACTTTTTTCTTCTTTTTTTTTTCTTGGAACGCGTGGTTTACTTTTAGTGTGATCGCGAGCGAGTGCACGGGCACGTGGCGGCCTCTTTCGGCCGCCACGTGCCCTGTGCAGCTCACGATTCTCAAGTCAGCCAATGACTGTGAGATTGAGTATATGAAACGGTCATTTGCGTATACAACATAATTTGTAGAGAGAAGAGAAAAAAAATTTTTTTTGCTGACGAATCAACTGCAAGTTCTAGGTTGCGCGCTGCGCTATAACGTTTGGCTCGCGTGTTCTCAGAAGCCTCAACTACCGATCGGCCGCATTTTCTGACCTAGGGAAAAAAGTGTTGCACGGCCCCTTTTATATAGGTATGCGTGACTCCAGAAATTCGCTTTCACAGAATTTCGCCTCCATCATACGCGGCCGCGATATGATGTCGTGACTACTGGGTCAACCCTCTAGCACCGTAACCACAAGAGCACCGTGGCCAATGAATATTATACAATTCATTCCAGTTAACAAAATGATGCTTATATTCATACATCTGCAACCATGAATCAAACTCACCTAGACTCACTAAAATGTGTATAGCGGTTTGGACTCACTCCCACTCTGACTCATCAAACTTTTCCTGTACCGGACCCACTCGGACTCACACTAGAGCTGTGCGCTGAAGTCCCTAGAAAGACCCGGAAAGGTCCGCGTGATGAACGTCAAATTTAGGCCAAAATTGATTGTCAAGAGCGCAGACAATAGCGTATCTCCTCTCTCTGGTTCATCTTCAACGTCATTTTCACATCAGGCAGTTTTCACACCTCTCGACTCAAATTACAGGACAGGAACGAAATGCGCTTCAACCGCTCAGGAAAAGGAATAAGAGAGCGCGCGTTCTCCTTTCAAGCCGCTACCTCGTACGACTCGTGTCACAATAACCATCATAATTTTGTTCTGTTTCATGTTCTGTTTGTTCTGTTTCATCATGATTAATTTTTGGTGAGCTCTTGACAAAAACATCATTCGTGAGCGAGCGCGCCTAGCATTTACAAACAAGCTTCCTCCGACGCCGCGTCTCCCTCGTGCTCCATGCTGTGGTCGCAGTTCCCAGCATTATCCTGTTTCATTCTTTTTTTTTTGGTGGCTGGATAAATAGTCTCGATGTGTCCCCCAAGTTGAGTTTTCATTTCGGCTACAGCTCATTGGCCGGACTTCGGTAAAAAAGCGCGCCTCTTGTTTCCGGTTTTTCACCCGCAACGGCATTTTGATGTCATAGAGCTTTCACAACTCTCGTCACAAATGAAATGGAAGGAATGCGCTCCAACGCAACGAACGCGGCGTCTAAACATGCGCTTCTGAGCATAAATCTAGGAGGCTATGCATAAATTATGATCGCGTAAACCATCGAATCAGCTTTAATGCACCCGCCCATCTATAGCACACATGTGAAGGTCTTCGCTAAAACTGCTGCTTGGGCGAGTTGGTTCGTGATTGAAATAGATTAACTCAAACTCCTCAACATATCACTAACCTTGCTCTCACTCAGACTCATGGCTCCATCTGTGTCTGAGTGGGCCCAGCGAGTAGACTCACCAACCTGTATGCTCTTGCTGTACACCTTCCTTACTTTACATACTTTTGTTTTATCCTTGAATACACACATCTATACCTTTCTGTATCTGTTCCACCTGTGACACTCAGAAGGCCTGGTTCCCGTCGTGAAGGAAGTGCCCGAGTACCGCAGGCTAGAACCATTTTTCCTCCACATCAAGCCCGGGGGCCGCTGGTGGCCAAGTCACTGCCTGGCGCGCCACCGCGTGGCCGTCATTGTGCCGTACCGAGACCGGGAGAGGAACCTGCGCGTTTTCCTGCACCACATGCACCAGTTCCTGCGAAAACAGGAGCTCGACTACGGCATCTACATAATCGAACAGGTACTCGCACCATAAACGATTACACTATCTTGCTTGAGTTGTCTTATGCAGCAACTCTCCTTCACCTTCTTGGCCACTCCTCTACGATAAGTGTTTTATGTAGTGAAACTAGACCCCTCATTTTCCGAATTCCTTCATTGCGCAAAAGGGCGTTGCATGCGAAAGCTACTACTTGTAGTCGTCCTTCGTGGTTCCTCATAGAATAATAACATTTATTATGGGCCCAAGTTAACAAAAGCGTTTTTTTCTAATACATTTTACCGTGAAGTTGTATATATAGTTAGAGTCCTGAGTACTTTTGTTGAACGTCAACAAGAACTCCCAGAAATAAAACAAAGGGCGTTCTATGTAGAAACTACTGAGTGTAGCTTTGTCTGGGATCTCTTGTGGAAAAATCAAAGATTCGATGCTCGGAGTATTAGATCGCAGACACCTGACTTTTAAGAAGGAATAGTGCAAGTCCGCGTGCGTTCAGAGGGTTGGCGCGTTTTCCACGGCACTGGTGGTTTTCCTCCGGTCTCACTTTAGTACGTACACCATCGAAATGTGAGGTCTGCACAGTGCACCACTTACGGCGGCGTTGTTTAACTCTTACCGCATAAGTATCGCTCTGCGCTATAGGTATCTCGGTACCCGATATAATGCAAACGCATTTACCGCCACAGTGACGCTGATCTTTTGAATCCATCTTGGCTCGCGTAACAAAAGCGCATACTATAAAATACACGGAACTGTCCGCGTTTCATTAAAGAAAAAAAAAAACTTTTACACCAACTGCTGATTTGTGCAGAGCGGCAAAGGCGACTTCAATCGAGCCAAACTGCTGAACGTCGGCTACGAGGTGTCCAAGACGATGCACGACTACAACTGCTTCATCTTCCACGACGTGGACCTATTACCAGAGAACGACCAAAGCATCTACGCGTGCCAGGAGAACCCATACCACCTATCCCGCTGTCTAGACATATACAAATATGAGTGCGTCCCCAGAACTATATATTTCTCTCTCTCTCTTTGAGAACAATTTGGCGCTATACTCGTTTCCAAGCCGAACAGTGCGGCTTCTCGCCGTCAAAGGATCGCCCTCCAGCAAGTGCTGGCGCCATGAAATGGGGACGTCGCAGCCAACCGCATTCGTACTGCACTCACAAGAACAATCGCGTATCACAAAGCGGTCGTGACCAGCCGCAACAACATTGGCTGGAGGGTGAGGGATCCTTTGACGGCGAAACGAAAAGTCGCACTGCTTTTGACTTGTAGGAGCGACCATATATATATATATATATATATATATATATATATATATATATATATATATATATATATATATATATATATATATATATATATATATATATATATATGATAGCAACAGCTCCAGTGGTGACATTCCTGTGTACACGTGATCAACGACAACCCGTATGAGGCACTCTCGCGTTGGTGCATTACGGCTTTTTATTTGTCTTTGGAAGCTAAGGGCCGGATGAACCCATGCCTGGCTGGGGAACAGATGGGCCATAGTTTCCAGAAACTCGGCATTGTGCACAGCTCTTGTGACTATATGCGGCAAACCTTTGTGGTTACCTTCTGTGGCTATGCCCCAGGAACTCGGGCTGTGAGACATGAGGATCAGGGAGTCCGACTCAAGCCTATTGTTTCGGAGTGCTATCACCACTTTCACCACCATCGTCAGCTACGTCATCAGCCTCTGTGCATGGCAAAGGTCTCTCCCGTGTTTACATAAATAACCCGTTCCTGTGGTATACATGCCGCTATGATATCTCCACAAGCTTCTGGCCACCTAACCTCTTTTGCCACTTTCGGCTTACTTTTTGAATAGTCTGTCACCCTTAATTTAATAACCATCTGTTACCTTGCCTTCGCATTCCTTCTCCTGATTATGTAAATTTTTTTCTTCCTAGACTATGATCTAATTACCAAGCGTTTTTTCTCCACCCACTTCAATCCCTTCTAACTCCTTAGTGTCGCAGCTATCATATTACTTTCTGTAGCGAAGCCTTCGAACTCTGCGTTCAATTGTCCTCCCCGGTGCCTTCTAATGGGTCGAACTCTTCGGCTCTTTTCCGAGACAACGGCACTCGTGCTGAGAGTCCGTGCTCCCTTTTGAATCAGCTACTTTGCTCATTGGGAGAATTGGAACATGCGCTGCGCCTACGTCAACTCGCTTCTGGTATCTAGTCTTCGCGCTTAATACCATCACGAATCTCTCTTGACGGTCATTGTTATGCATCACTTCTGAGCACTTACTAATAAACGCCCTTGCACTTTCCATAGATCACTGCGTCGTCCTTAGTTTTAAGACCATTTAGAGGATCATGGATGTTGAATGCGTTATCGGTAAGCGTGGAGAAATGACACGCATACTTTAGGCGTGTAAAAAAAGCTTGAAACACACGCTTAGGTAAGCGTCGGGTTTTTAGAGTGCAATGGACAAGAGTGGCTTGTATAGAACGCGCTTTAAGCAATCACTGAGTGGAGCTTTAAAATCTGTATAAATCACCGTACACAGCGTGTAGTTACACGTTGCTGCATGCCCATGAATGTAAAACAATACGAAAGAAAATTCAACGCATGTTGCATTAGAACGAAAGCGGACACAATTGAGACACGCGCCTTATGTCAGAGTATTATATTGCCATCTGCACCCTTCCTTTTCACGAGCTAAGCTCGCTCTTATCTCCTGCGACAGGCCGTCCTACCCCACCATATTCGGCGGTGTGAGCGCGCTGACTCAAGCGCAGATGGAGAAAGTCAACGGCTTCTCCAACGTCTTCTGGGGCTGGGGAGGAGAAGACGACGACATGTCGACGAGGTAAGCTAACCGCGCTGTAAATTTACCTACGCGCGCTCCCTTCAAGGAAGTTTAGATTAACTATAAGCTGTGCCAGGTTGCGACGCGGATTATGTGAGCCGGGAGGCGTTGCCTTATACCATGGCACTGGTTTGAGGAGCATGGAAAAACAGCGTGAAACAAATAACATGGCATGGCAGCAACTCGAGTACAGTAAAATGACCATAAGAATGAATGATTACATCAACCAATCAACGAACGAATAAGCTTATTGACGAGACTATAGGTTGCATGACCACCTGTCAGGCTAAAAGGGCATTGATTGCAGCTTTATCGCTAATGGAATAATTATGAATGTTCTTGTAGCTCACTTGGATGTTGAGTGTTCTTTCATTATAGTAAGCTTTATTGCCGGCGTGCATCCGTCTACATTAAACATTTAGGTATGTATTTCTGAACATATATTATGTACAGTTGACATCAATTGAGCTTTTTTTTTTTGTGCCTATTGCGACTTCGTGGAAATGATTTGTTTGCAATGACGAGGTATCTTTTGTCGCTTTCCTAAAGTTTCATTCAATAACTAATGAAAACCACCGCTTAAAGGAATTCATTTAAGGGTACCATTTTTGTGCAGTTCTAACAATGAAGCAAGGAAGTTCGCGAATGTAGGCCTGTTCTTAGTGGGAGTTCATCATTCTTTGTTTTTTAACGCGCTCCGGCTGACAGAGCAAAAAGAAATAGAAGTGCCTCAGACATTATGCAAATGGCATAAGTACGTAAAAAAAAAACATGCACCAATCCGCCAATACAGCCGAGTATATGCTATGTAAAAAAACAAAGAAAAGATTGTACTTTTTATTTTTTGAGTGATTCGTGACTTACTACATATAAAAATTTCATTGTCTCACGTAAACTCTCTTTGCGAGAGTTTTAACTTTTTTGTACACTGACGATCATCTAGAAAGTAAGATCATTTATTGAAACATGTTAAACGACCGCAGGGTGCGCTACAGTGGCTACACGCTTATGCATGCCAACTGCACCATCGGACGCTACGTCGCCATGACGCACGAAGCACAAAGTCCCAGCCAGAGAAGGTAACGTGCGCTACGTGCAATCACTCAGTAATTAGTGCACCGCAATACGGATGAACGCGCGCGCAAAATTACTAAACAAGAGAAAGGTTTTGCGAATGGCATTCTCAGTTACAAATTGAAGCACCGTTCTGAGAGTAATATCCAAATTGTGCTCTCCAGGCAAAAAAAAAAGAAAATAAATATAGAGAAACCGATCCATCTCACCATATGTCTTACGAGCCACGATGTGGAGGTACACGTAAGTGTGTATTAAGGCAAACTTAAAACTGAGTCATTACATAGATAACTGCGATGAAACATGTCCTGATGCAGGGAAGCGAATGGTGCACTTATATAATTTTTCAGCGTGATAATTCTCCGACATCACATCGTGCCAAGTTTGAGTATCGTACATGCTGTGAAGACAATAACAATGGCTTACGACGTTTTCTTACACAATCCGTTACATTCGATTTCATCTACTTCAAAGCGCGACTCGCCAGTATTCCTGTCTTATTCGCCTCACTCACTCACTCACTCACTATCCATTGATAGAGTATTATGTCATGTTTTTTATTATTCTTTTTTTTTTCAGACACCGGCTTATCAGGCGAAGCTTTTTCCGCATCTACAAGGATGGCCTCAGCAGCCTCAAGTACAGAGTGCTAGACATCGTCTTCAAGAAGCTATACACCCACGTCATGGTGGATCTCTTCCAGCACACGGCGCCCAAGTGAACAGGAAGAAACAACGAAACAAAAAAAAACATTGTAGCCGGATGAGCCTTATACGAACTACGTTAACGCGAGCATCGGTCCTCCAGAATTTTGTCGATCTCTTTTCAATTTATTATCCCTATCCCCCTTGGATTTCTTGCGCAGTGCTACTGCTTTTATGTATAAATAAAAACGTTAGCAAGATGCTCATTCAACAAATCTAGAATACACAACACTTTCAACAAAACACAAGGCCAATTTCTAAGTTGTATCTCAGATTAGTGTAAGCGAGTGTTTTACACATATAGGTAAGAAACCAAAAACTGTAGAAAAAAGTTTGGCAGTTTGGACGCAGAGTCGACGCTACTGTCATCACTTGCTTTCTTGAAGGAGACAGGACTGCCTGTCGGGGCACTGGCTCCAGCGACACACTCTTCAAGAATTTCTTTAAGTGTCGAAGCACCCGAGAGTGTAGGTTGGTTCATTGTTGTGCATTGTCTGTGCTGACGGTGATGATGATGATGATGATGATGATGATGATGAAGAAGAAGAATAAGCGCATTCCAGACCACACATTTTCTTTTTTTCCAAGGATGAAAACGAACGTGAACGAGCTCTCCCCCGCGAAAGGTAACGTCGACGCAGACATCACGCTATACCCTGCATGCATTTTTTTTCATCTCGTACTGAAACAGAAGTGCTTGCGACGCCGTATACGTAATTTTCCACGTGAAGAATCGATAAGATTGCTTCATCTGGCGATGCGTGACTAGGTGTGATCGGCTTGCTTCACACTTGCTTACTTGTTTGCTTGTTCCTCTTTTCTGGCTCTTACCCACTAAGGGCGATTGGCCGAGAAGTTGGCGGCTAATGCAAGCGAACAATTTAGGACTATGGTACTCGAGAGCGCGTGCCTCCGCGGTTACGCACCGGCGTGAATGAAGAAGAAGAAGAAGAAGAAGAAGAAGAAGAAGTGAACAAGAGTGGTCTCTGAAAGCGAAATCAGCCTGGTCCCAAAGCCACGGAAATCGCAAAGACTGCACGCGACGGATTCCACTCGGGTATGTATCTTGTAAAACCGTACGTACACTCCTTGCTGGCAGGGTGAAACTCTTATCGCTAGTACATCATTCGGTACGTTATCCCGTATCTTACAGGTAGCGGGTGATGAGAGCACTAAAGACTCCATCGCGCATTGCCATATCAAGGACTCTAGTGTTCGTGGCACTCGTTTCCGCCGCCACCATGCTGTTCACTGAGCCCGATGTGGCACACCCCGAAATCGGCAATGCCAAGCCATTCGACTACACGGTCACTACTCAACAGAACCTCAGCGTCAGGACGCCCTCCCTTCGACAGCGACATGCTCCTCGCAAGGTCACACCTCGTCCCAACTTCTGTTCGGTGAACTGGAAACAAGGCAGTAAGCATAGCAGCATGTTTTTTTTCATCGTCTTTCGCGCTTCACAAATGCCGCTATGAAGGTTTGTGTGGACGTGAATTCTTCTATACGTATCAATAACGGCTCTCGTGTTTTGTGTTACGTCGTCTCTCGTCCATCTTGCGATGGCGCACCTTACGAATTGTTCATTTGCACGCCTTATAATTCTTTCTGAACACCTTGTTACTATTACATATAGCTTTGTGCGTCTGTGCGCGTGTATTTCCGAGTGCGTGTGCATGAGTATGTGCGCACGTGTTTGCATGTACAGAGACACTCTGAGACGCACACACGCACACACAATGTGTCATGTTGTCATCCCGGAAGTATTAGACAGACTGAAGTTTGTAGAAGCCTTCAATTCATCAAATATTGATTCAGTTACCACAAAAGGCTTTCGACAACACAGCTCTTGTAAGCTAGTCGTAATTTATGCGGGATTACCATAAAAAACCTCATAATCAAAGAGCATGCACTCTCTTCCGTCTTCTTCTTCATAGTCATCGTCATCATCATCTTCTGCTTCACTTGAAAAACACAAGTGCAATAGCATAATCTCGTGGTGGTGAACACACACAACAGTCTTTTGCAGCGCTCTGTAACATGACTGCTCGTTAGTAATGAAAGACTTGTCTGGGTAATTACTGATTCTGCCAGTCCCACGGTCTGGCCTAATGCAGCGTTACTGGTCGTACATGTAGGCGACTTGCTGCAAGTCAAGAAGCAGGGCCCACCACTCTCGGTCCTGGAGAAAGCGATGCCGCACGTAATGCCTGGTGGTCGCTGGTTCCCGACCGGGTGCACGGCTCGGCATCGAGTGGCCATAGTGGTGCCCTACCGGGACCGGCTGAGCAACCTGCAAGCCTTCCTGCAGCACATGCACCCGTTTCTCCAGAGCCAGCGGCTGGATTACGGCATATACGTGGTGGAACAGGTGTGCACGCCACCTTTGAATCCCACCGAAACACGCAGAATCAGAATCGGCATTCGTCGTTGCATGTACTGGAATATTACGCACGTAATTGACACCTCCTAATATGCCTGCCACGTTCCTGGTTAACTTTCCAAACTTCCCTCTCCAAATGCTTGCTTCCTTTCCCTCCCCTTTTATTTCGTTTCTGGTCACCGTGGGCCCTCTATAGCGGTTATGTTACTCGACTATAGACTCGAGTATGGGCGGTGAACTATCAAGTATGGTCTGTACTTGGAAATTTCATCAGAACAAGTAAGCACTTTAGCCGACCCGACTGCCCTTGTGACTCGGCATTGTGTGACACGGAGAACGAAAATATTGACGCACTCTGCTACAATGTAAAATACTTCAAATGTCCGATTATTGTATCGTATATAGTTTCGAAGGAAGTGCACTCGGAGGGCCTCACAAGGTGTCGTCACTTGAACAGCAAACATTTTTTTTTTCGCATATGACCAGTATGACGACCAGACTGGCGAATGCTGGCGTTACCCGCCACAGTGGTCTGGTGACAACGGTGCTCAAATGTTGATCTTGTTGAGGAATGGGAGACGAGACCACGGCGATGAGCCCGTGCCCAGGTCACAGCTTTTATTTGGGACGCAGGCGTAGGCAGAGTTGCCGCTGCAGCGTCCAGCCAGGCCAGGAGCTCAGCCATTCTGAAAAATCCTCGTGGCTCGCGCCCCACGTGCCATGCGGCTCGCTTCTTTTTCGGTGCGGCCAGCTTGCCAAATCTAGCGTAGCGCTACAATCTGAAGGTCGCGGGATCGAAACACGGCTGAGGCAGCCGCATTTGAATGTATGTGTAAGCCACATTTTAACGAGTCTAAACGCTATATGCTTCGATTGAGGTGCACGTTAAAAGAAACGCCATGGGGTCGAAATTTCCGGAGCTCCGTGCTACAGCATCTCTTACGATCATACTGTGGTTTAGCGGTGTTATAAACCCCAAAAACTATCATAAGAAACTACGTGGCTGTGCTATTGCGAGTGTCTGAGATACTCTGCGAGTACGAGATTGATTTGTGGGGTTTAACGTCCTAAAGCCACCATATGATTATGAGAGACGCCGTAGTGGAGGGCTCCGGAAATTTCGACCACCTGGGGTTTTTTAACGTGCACCCAAATCTGAGCACACGGGCCTTCAACATTTCCGCCTTCATCGGAAATGCAGCCACCGCAGCCGGGATTTGAACCCGTGACCTGCGGGTCAGCAGCCGAGTACCTTAGCCACTAGACCACCGCAGCGGGGTTCGCGAGTACGAGTGTCTGGGTTACTGGCGCGGGCAAACTTCTTTCATGTGTCTGCGACAAGCCTGTTTTAGTTAATCTCATAGCCTGATAGTTAATCGTCAGTATTCATTTTCACTCAATTGACCATATTCTTAGCGTACAGCTGCAATAAAGCTCCAAGTTGACAACTTGACACAACAATGTGCTGCGTGGTTCAGAGGTAACAGAATAGAAGCGCGCTGTTTTCAGGAAACCTCTTATATAGATGATCAGTAGTACGTGAAAAAAAAACTGCTGATATGAAGAGCTTGCTGATATACATCATTTAAACAAGGGCTTCTTGGGTGCCACCATTATCTCCTTCGGGCTGTTGTAAGGTGCGATGCCCAGCATGGTATATATATATATCGTCCCGGCCACAGAAAGTGTGTTCCTGACGAAAAGATTCAAATAGTTGTGAGCTCGAACCACACAGCTCTAGCTACAACGCACAGCATTTCCAATAATATTAGACACGTCAGGCTAGGCGGCTATCCTCCCACCCACTTTATTGAGTATATATGTGAATTTAAACGTGGGAGTGTCAGTCAGCGCCATCAGTAGCCATGGTGGCGAGTGTGGCAAACATTTTATGAGCCTGTTTGGCGTCACGTATCACGTGAACTTATTACGAGCTGGCATCTGACCAATAGTAAAGCGCAATTCAAAGAATGAAAATTGCCTGATTACTTCAAGAGCCAAACCAATAATAATTGTAGGGCTGCGGAAATTTCTATACCATCTGTGGTTCTTTAACGCGCGTCTAAATCTAAGCCCACGGGCCTCAAGCATTTACGCCTCTACCGAAAATACAGCTGCCGCGGAGGAGGTTCGATCACGTGACCTTCACGTCAGCAGGTGAGCACCATAATTACCATAACACAATGGCGAGCAAACCAAGGTGAACCTCACTTTGATTGTGAGCAGGCAGCACCACGCATATACGCTCCTCGCAAAACAGAATAATGAGCACAAGAAGGCGTGCAAAGAGCCACGCTGTGATTGTGTGAGAGCCTGTGCCGTCTTTGCCAGCATTGCACTGATTTACCACACGGTCTTCCTTCGCTACAACCTTATAACCTCAAGAAACCTCAGCACAAAGGGAACTAAGGCCTCTTTTTTTTCTGTTAGACAAAACGTTAATGAAAACGAACAGACAGCCAAGCCAAACAAACTATAGGGGATGTTATTCGTAGTAGTTATGATATGATTGTGAAGAAATATAGTAGGCTAAAAGCCAACCTGCCGCCGGCAAGGGCCGAACCTCGAGCTTTCGAATGCTGGGCCAAGAAGGTTTTTCGAACCTTTCTTCGCCTTCTTGGCAGTAGCCCATCCCATGCAGCGTCTCGACGAATCGCATGCAGCAGAGGGACGATACCTGTTTTCCTCTTATTCATACACCCCATCAACCGAATGATCAGTTGTTAACTGAAAAATTAGGGTCGAAAAAATGATAACGAGGCAAACTGGAGGGTTGGAACTTCCCCATGCAGGGCTCTACTGCCATACAGATCAAGT